TTCTGTTGCCACGCCCGTTGTAGCATTCTGTTGCCACTCCTGTTGTAGCATTCTGTTGCCACGCCTGTTGTAGCCTTCTGTTGCCACGCCCGTTGTAGCCTTCTGTTGTCACTCCTGTTGTAGCATTCTGTTGCCACGCCCGTTGTAGCATTCTGTTGCCACGCCCGTTGTAGCATTCTGTTGCCACGCCCGTTCCAGAACTCGCTCGGCGACCTTGACTTAACGGAGAGTTTTTGAAGAAGAGAATGAGATCAAGTTTTTGTTCTGGTGATCAGTAAGAGGTGTCCTCCCTTCTCCCTCTCTCTCTCCCTCACTTCTCTCCTCCTCTCCCTCCCCTCCTCCAGCCTCCCTCCCTCCCTCCCTCGTTTTCTCCCTTGCAAACTCCTTCACTACCTTCCTTTTTACCTATGTCCCTTACTAGCATCCTCCTTCCCTTTACCACATACTCCCCTTGTCTCTTCCTCCCTTCCTTCCTTCTACTCTCCCTTTCGTTCTGCCTTCCTTTCCATTCATATCTCCCTACTTCTATCCGACTCGCCTTCTCTCTCTCTCTCTCTCTCTCTCTCTCTCTCTCTCTCTCTCTCTCTCTCTCTCTCTCTCTCTCTCTCTCTCTCTCTCTCTCTCTCTCTCTCTCTCTCTCTCTCTCTCTCTCTCTCTCTGTCTTTATCTCTCTCTCTCTCTCTCTCCCCCTCTCTCTCTCTCTCTCCCTAACCCTTGTTCTGTGTGCTATTCAACAGGTGAGGACTTCACTCAAGTGGGAACTTCACTCAAGTGGGAACTTCACTCAAGTGGGAACTTCACTCAAGTGAAGTTGAGTTCACTTGAGTCCTACTCAAGTGAATGCTCTAGTTCTGGTCCCAGACGTGTTCCGTACAGGGTCGTACAGAGTCGAATATCGTCCAGGACCAAGAATCATCAGGCATTTTACGTGGCCACTTGCGAAACCTGTGCATCTTTCAAACCTTCACGGTGGCTTACCCTGTATTTATTAAAGTGTTTACGTGATTGGAAGCTGATGGTCAACCTCGTAAGGGCTTGAGGGGATCTTAAGCTGTTTCATGAATCGAAATGAACCCCTTCATGTTTGAGGAAAGATGCACAAGAGGTTTCGTAAGAGGACACGTATAGACCCCTTGATGATTTTGATGGTAACCGGATGAAGTGGATCATCGGTGGCAGGCTGGGATGATCCAGTCAATTTTGATTTGATTGTACTTATAGGAAGGATGAGCACCATAGTACATATGCCGACGTATTACGCAATTAGAAAGTAGAAATCGGTACTATTGTATTTAGGCAAACCGGAAAACGATTTTCTATATACGTTGCAAGGACACACTAACCTAACCTAACCTTCCTAGGTCTAATACATGCTATCTGAGGGCCTAACATAGTACATATTATTAGGGGAGCCGGTCGGCCGAGCGGACAGTACGCTGGACTTGTGATCCTGTGGTTCTGGGTTCGATCCCAGGCGCCGGCGAGAAACAATGGGCAGAGTTTCACCCTATGCCCCTGTTACCTAGCAGTAAAATAGGTACCTGGGTGTTAGCTGTCACGGGCTGCTTCCTGGGGGTGGAGGCCTGGTCGAGGACCGGACCCCGGGGACACTAAAGCCCCGAAATCATCTCAAGATAACCTCAAGAAGATAACCATATGTGTGCTGCACTAGGTCTAGGAATATTTAAATTTGTTAGTTTCATTTTTTTCGGACTCTTATAAAGTAAATAGTACAACGTTCTACTATGTAACTACTTAATACGTCAATGTTTGTACTATGGTGCATATAGTTATATAAAAAAGTACGATCTAAACAAGAGGATGGGTTGCTATATCAGACCTTTTGTTTCCCCTTCTCAAGAGCGACGGCCTCGCTTCATGCAGGTCGGCGTTCAATCCCCGACCGTCCACCAAGTGGTTGGGCACCATTTCTTTCCCTCCCCTTCCTATCCAAAATCTTTATCCTGACCGTTATCTCGCCATCAGGCCAGATTCCCGTTACTTTCCTGTTACTCTCACCTGGAGCGTCGCGTTAACACGCTACGCACGCGTTGCTGAAGGTTGTCTTAACACGCACCTCATCCGTTAACGGGAGAAAGTGAAGATGATGTTGTTGTTGTTTTAGATTTAACTACTCAGAACGAAGTGTCCATGTAGCACGGGCTATGGTGAGCCCGTTATTGAGTTCGGTTATTCGCGATAACCTTGTTACTGTGATAACAAACAAAAAACTGTGTTACTGTGAAGATGAGGGTGATGGAACATGTATATAGTGAGAGCGGTAGTGAGAGTGAAGGTGAGAAGCACATGTTCTGTGGTGAGGGAGAAAGGGAAAGTGTGCATGAGAGATACACACACACACACACACACACACACACACACACACACACACACACACACACACACACACACACACACACACACACACACACACACACACAAAAGATATATTAAACAAAAGACATCAGTAGACAGATAAGCGAAATATAACAAAAGACAGATTACGTCACAAGACACAGCAAGTTACACGCACTTTAGACAATATCCATTTTTATAAGTGCCTAAAACATTCCGATCAAATATAAAATTTTTGTAGAACGTCGAACACGTGACAGATTTCACCGACTCCAGATGACGGGAACTTTCACAATGACAATTTTCCTGAAAATAACGAAAGTCTGTAAAGAAACTGTGAAGTATTTACGTTTAGTATATATATATATATATATATATATATATATATATATATATATATATATATATATATATATATATATATATATATATATATAATTTATATATATAACATATATATATATTTATAAACAGGTGAAGATGCATAATTTCTAGTTTTAAGTATCCTAGGGCTATCTAATAGACTGTCTAATGACTTCCTATGATAACAAGTCAAAGATTCCGTGTGAAACGAAGCTCCACGGGAGACTATTGTTCTCTAAAGATTATTTCAACAGTTTAGAATTCCTTTTATTTGATATCATAATGCACCACTAACCCTGGAAGCGTGTGCAACAATAGAGAGAAAGTGAGCGAGAATGTAAGAGAGAGAGAGAGAGAGAGTGAGGGAGAGAGAGAGATGGGTCAGAGACTGCAAACAGAGAAAGAGAGATGGCTTGATTGATTGCTTGTCTAAAAATACCTGTGGTGATGCGAAAATTAGGTCATTGGTACCGCGAGACAGAGACTAGTTTATACCTGCTTCAGGGCTTTGTGGTATTTGGTAAACGGCGGGCAAAAACTTCTTGGTGTAGTGTGGGGTGTCTAGGTGGGTCAGGGTGAATGAACGTTTGTGGTTCAGATAGGAAGAACGTTTGTAGTTGCGATCTGGTGAACGTTTGTGGTTCAGATTGGATGAACGTTTACCCAACACCAGGTGAGTCACTGGCTGAATGAGAATGAATGGGTTACATGATTCCAAGGCTAGTGCATAGATAAGGCTGGCATGTGTTTGGTGTTAAAAAAAATGTTTGGAATGTTTGGTGTTAACGGAGCACCGTGTTAGAGGGGCTTGTAGGTGTGAGGTTGGAGGCATGGGTCTATGAGGTGGGTAATGGGTTGAAAAGTGAGAGGGATGGGTTGATGGTGAGGAAGGTGGATGGAGGTAGGGGAGGAGTGGGAGGACTACAGCTGAAGGCAAAAGTGAAAGTAGTCCTTCACCTGTGTGTGTGTGTGTGTGTGTGTGTGTGTGTGTGTGTGTGTGTGTGTGTGTGTGTGTGTGCGTGTGTGTGTGTGTGTGTGTGTGTGATATTTCTTCGTCTCGGAAAACTTCATTCGAACAATTAATCTATTTGTATTTTGTTCAATCCGTCAGTTATTTTCACAGTCGACAAATTCCGTCTAATTTCCCGTCTCATGTCTACCCCACCACGCCCACCTTCTCCTCGCCCACCCACGCCCGCCCACCCCCACCCCCCTCCTCTCCTAGCCCACCCACACCCACCTTTCCTCACTCACACACCCGCCCAATAGTCCAGTTCAATCTCACTTCAGCCACGCACTGTTCAAGGTCGTTAACATTTCACTTCCAAGATTTCTAAAGCCTGAAGTTGACGCGCCAGACCGATACACTTGTGTATGCTACGTCCCGCAATTATTAATGTATTAATGAGTGTTATACATGTGTGTATATGTATATGCTATGTGAAGTTATGTATGCCATGTCACAACCACTACCACCACTGCCTATTCGCATACACGAACATTCTCCTATTCCCTCGTCTGCCTCTCAACATCACGGGCACCTATAAGACATAATTATTCTGCTAGAACATCCCCCACCCCCTTCTCCTCCCACCCCCCACCCCTTCCGTCACCATACACCATCCTCCTGATCGCCATGACTCTTCACCACGCATCTAAACACTCACCATCATCACACCAAACCCTAACTAGCACCTATCACCGATTTCTACAATACACACCAACCTAAAGACCATCAAATACACAATACAAAATACCACACTATAACCACCATACACACACACACACACACACACACACACACACACACACACACACACACACACACACACACACACTCACACCAAGAAACACAAGGGTTATAGAAACAGCAGAAGTCCTATTACCCCATACGAGGCAGCTCCTATTGATTTCCACCCAAAGACATTCAAAAATATTATTTATTTGTCTAACCTACGCTTGAAACAATCAGTCAACACTCGCCTATTTATTTTAACCCATAATCTTTTCCCCCCACAAATCAACAACCCCATTTCTAAACCGGTATCTATTTAGGTTTATCCTGAATCAAAACTTATCCAACCCAACTCACATATCCCATTGTTTGGAGTTCTATCCTATGATAATGTATTTAGTAATCCATTTATAACGCGAGGCAGGAATTAACACTGTTGACCAGACCACACACTAGGAGGTGAAGGGACGACGACGTTTCGGTCCGTCCAGGAATTAACTATCTAATTGAGTTCTCGTTGACTAATTATTCATTCTATCTCCTTCAGGCGGTGCACAGTATGCAGAGTTGACCAGCTGTCCGGAGAACTACGGGCTACAGGTCTACCCAGACCCCGTCTCCTGCAACCACTTCTATAAGTGCGCCAATGGTACCCTCACTTATGAGGTCTGTGGGAACGGCCTTCTCTTCGACGGGAAGGGCGCCGTTCACAACCACTGCAACTACCACTGGGGTGTCGACTGCGGCGAACGCAAGGCTGAATGTAAGGATGAGATGCGTGTGCGTGCTCACGCTCGTGTGTGTGTGCGTGTGTACACACGCGAGTGTGACTAGTACACACACACATACACATACACACACACACACACACACACACACACACACACACACACACACACACACACACACACACACACACACACACACACACACACAGATCCTCGCGGGCTAGCCTAAGGATACAGTGCTCGGGGGTCGTAGTCCTAAGGACCCGGGTTTAATTTCCTCCCGAGGCAGAAATAAATGGGCATAGTTTCCTTCATCTGATGCATTTCTTCACCTAGCAGTAAAATAGGTACCTGGAAGTTAGACAGCTGCCATGGGCTGCTTCCCAGCAATGAGTGAAAGAAAACCACTTTTAGTAGATATCAGAGAAAACTGGGTCGAGAGTCCTTGCATTAGATAACCGGCGGTTAGAAAGGCGGGGTCCAAGAGCTAACAGATCAAATCCCCAGGCACAAATATTAAAATACACACACATACACAAATACCCCATAAGAGATGTAACTTGGAGACGGAGGCAGGAAAGGTACTCAGTGGATAAGGGAGTACCTGAGTAACGGAAGACAGAAAGTCACTGTGAGGGGTGAGATCTCTTGAGTGGCTAGATGTCACTAACGGAGTCCCATCGGGTCCAGTTCTCGGACCCATCCTGTTTCTCATCACTGTAAATGATCTTCCAGAGGGAACTAACTCGTTCTTCTCAATATGTGTTGATGCAAACATTATGAGAATGATTAAGTCAGCGGAAACCAGCAAGTAGCTAAAAGATGACCTGGACAAGATAAGGTCAAGCAAAAGGCTATTAGAGATTAACTACAGTACATGTAAAGTAATGAAATTATGTGTTGGGAGCAGGAGGTCGAACAGAAGGCCCCAAATGAGAGATTAAATCCATGTATCGGACAGAGATAAGGATCAAAAGGTTAATATCACACCGAACCTGTCTCCTGAAGCCCATATTAAAAGATATGCGAGGTTGTCTAACATAAGAACTGCCTTTAGAAACTTGTGCAAGGAATCATTCGGAACCTTGAATATTACATACAGTATTCCAGATCAATCCTGGTGTATGCGTGTCAAGTCTTGAGTCCATATCTAGCCAAACACAAGACGAAGCTGGATAAGATTCCGTCTCCAGAATAGTTCCAGATCTACGAGATATGAATTACGAGGAAAACCTACAGGAATTGAACCTCACGTCGCTGGAAGACAGAAGAGTGAAGGAGATATGATTACCACATACAAGGGGTGGGTATTGAAATGGGTAGATAGACTATTTAGAACGGGTGGAACTCAAACAAGGGGACACAGGTGGAAACTGAGTACCCAAATGAGCCAGAGGGACGTTAGAAATAATACCTCAGTGTCAGAATAGTTAACAAATGGAACACACTAGATAGTGATGTGGTGGAGGCAGATATGAGAGAGCTCGAGAGCCTATATACACTAGTTGACTGACAGTTGAGATGCGGGACCAAAGAACCGAAGCTCAACCCCCGCAAGCACAATTAGGTGAGTAAACACACTTCAACAAACGATAGAAACAGTGAGGTAAGAACATAGTGTACACACCATACCAGCGTGTTTACACCAGGTACACCTGGTATACCCACACCAGGTAGGTAAACTAACCAGGATGCTCATCAAACATACTGAATGCTTCATCACCTAGGCTTCTAGAGAATTTTCTGCAGTTCTCTTGATACTTAAATTAATCTCTAGCGTCATTATGTTGAGTAGAAATTACGCCTATTGTTTTGGCCACTTAAATCAAATATATATATATATATATATATATATATATATATATATATATATATATATATATATATATATATATATATATATATATATATATATATATATATATATATATATATATATATATATATATATATATTATTAAATATGACCGAAAAAGTAAGATTAATAATTCTAACACGAATTTTCTCAATCTTTCGTACATTACGCTTCACTGTTGGAGGTAAATCAAAAATCACTTCTCCAAAATTCATTTTTATTTCTAGTCTGACGCGACACGGGCGCGTTTCGTAAAACTTATTACATTTTCAAAGACTTCACAAATACACAACTGATTAGAACTTACGTCTCTCTGATATTATATCTACATTTGAGTGAGGTGGGAAGGATGATGTGGCATTAACACAAGACAGAACAGGGGATATTAATAGGGTATTAAAAGTATCAACACAAGACAGAACACGAAACAATGGGTATTGAATAGAAGTGTTTGTAGAAAGCCTATTGGTCCATATTTCTTGATGCTTCTATATTGGAGCGGAGTCTTGAGGTGGGTAGAATATAGTTGTGCAATAATTGGTTGTTGATTGCTGGTGTTGACTTCTTGATGTGTAGTGCCTCGCAAACGTCAAGCCGCCTGCTATCGCTGTATCTATCGATGATTTCTGTGTTGTTTACTAGGATTTCTCTGGCGATGGTTTGGTTATGGGAAGAGATTATATGTTCCTTAATGGAGCCCTGTTGCTTATGCATCGTTAAACGCCTAGAAAGAGATGTTGTTGTCTTGCCTATATACTGGGTTTTTTGGAGCTTACAGTCCCCAAGTGGGCATTTGAAGGCATAGACGACGTTAGTCTCTTTTAAAGCGTTCTGTTTTGTGTCTGGAGAGTTTCTCATGAGTAGGCTGGCCGTTTTTCTGGTTTTATAGTAAATCGTCAGTTGTATCCTCTAAAAATCAGAGGATACAACTGACGATTTACTATAAAACCAGAAAAACGGCCAGCCTACTCATGAGAAACTCTCCAGACACAAAACAGAACGCTTTAAAAGAGACTAACGTCGTCTATGCCTTCAAATGCCCACTTGGGGACTGTAAGCTCCAAAAACCCAGTATATAGGCAAGACAACAACATCTCTTTCTAGGCGTTTAACGATGCATAAGCAACAGGGCTCCATTAAGGAACATATAATCTCTTCCCATAACCAAACCATCGCCAGAGAAATCCTAGTAAACAACACAGAAATCATCGATAGATACAGCGATAGCAGGCGGCTTGACGTTTGCGAGGCACTACACATCAAGAAGTCAACACCAGCAATCAACAACCAATTATTGCACAACTATATTCTACCCACCTCAAGACTCCGCTCCAATATAGAAGCATCAAGAAATATGGACCAATAGGCTTTCTACAAACACTTCTATTCAATACCCATTGTTTCGTGTTCTGTCTTGTGTTGATACTTTTAATACCCTATTAATATCCCCTGTTCTGTCTTGTGTTAATGCCACATCATCCTTCCCACCTCACTCAAATGTAGATATAATATCAGAGAGACGTAAGTTCTAATCAGTTGTGTATTTGTGAAGTCTTTGAAAATGTAATAAGTTTTACGAAACGCGCCCGTGTCGCGTCAGACTAGAAATAAAAATGAATTTTGGAGAAGTGATTTTTGATTTACCTCCAACAGTGAAGCGTAATGTACGAAAGATTGAGAAAATTCGTGTTAGAATTATTAATCTTACTTTTTCGGTCATATTTAATAATATATGTCTACAGGAAAGACTGCTACCAAAATATACTAATATATATATATATATATATATATATATATATATATATATATATATATATATATATATATATATATATATATATATATATATATATATATATATTTAAAGTAAAATCATTAGAATAGAATAGAAAATATCTTATATATATTTATTTGACCTTGTCTGAACATGTCTGATATATTAGTGTAATGAACCAACACGTTATTACAAATCTCTTTTCCATCTTATAGGTGAAAGATATTTCTTCCCCCCTCTTTCCCCCCTCAAGCACTTCCCCTCACTCCCCTTCTCCCCCACAGTGACTCCTGCCGGACGAGGCATCTGCGAGTATGAATTCGGTCTGTTCTCGGCTGGTCCGTGCGAGACCTACTTCACCAAGTGTGCCTATGGGGAGCCCCTGGACGAGCCCTGCACCCCGGGCCTGGCCTATGACGACAAGATTCACGGCTGCAACTGGCCAGATCTCCTCGAGTACTGCAACCCCGAGCGTGAGTCGCTGATTGATTTGTAGTTTATCCGGAGAGGGGTTGAATCAGTTCAGACGTAGACAGTCTATTCTGGAACGAAAGTTTCTCGGCTTAAATATTATGGGTGATGCTCTAAGCCATAGAGCATCATAATGCTAATATTATTAATTCTATAATTCTCCAGGTGTCATCTATAATTAGACGCCCAACTCACGCACCTGAAAATAAAGTTATTGACGAAAGTTTCGGTCCGTCTCAGACCATTATCAAGTCGTATGAAGACAGAGTGGTGTTGAAAATCACTATATTAAAAAGAAGGCGATGTCCGGGATGGACCAAAATGTCGCCACTTCCTTTATTTACACAGAGAAATCACCCTTTACGTGATAACTCGGCAGGGTGCTCCTTGATTGCAGGCTCCAGTCACCTCGTTGCTGCAAACTGATTTTCTCACTTTCCTTATCCCATAACATAATCATCACTATCAACACACGGTTCAAAATTACCGTGTTTTCCGGAATAGTTAATACTTTTCCTGCATTCAGATTCAGTAAGCTATTATGATGGCTTTAATAACCTCCAAGCCAGGTATTAATAAGCTATAACCAAACTATTTAAAGCTAGTTTGACATGAAAATTCACTAATATATATAATATTTCATAGTGTATGTTAAAACTGTCACATATTTACCTCTGAACATACAGTTACCCCTGTCATTCTAGATGACTTATTTAGGTTGGATACTCAATATGCATTCATCTTCAAATCTCCAACTTGGTTTCCTATGCAATATGGCTTACTGTATCTCAAATCACAATGGCTGTCTTTTACCTGGGAGTCGCACACGATCTTCACCCTCGTCAAACAACAACAACAGCTTGTTCCTTCTCGGGTCACACCTTCTAGCTACACTTTTCTCAACTAATTTGTTATTTTTTCAGTTGTCAATGAGTGTGAGTTGAGATTTACTAATCAAGGCCTTATTTGTCACTTAGTATGTTCAGTGGATTTCTAAGATCGTGGCGGCATATTGATGCAAAGAACGTGAAGCTTAATCCATGCCATGTTAAACACAAGACAAAATTAGAGAAGCTTCAGGGGTATGTCACCAGACTCGTCCCGGAACTGAGAGATTGAGCTACGAGGAAAGGTGAAACTTACGTCCCTGGACGACCGAAAAGTTAGGGGAGACATGATAACCACCTACAAAGTTCTCAGGGGAACTGACAGGGGTAGACACAGACAAACAGTCTCCGTGGTGTAGTGGTAAGACACTCGCCTGGCGTTCCGCGAGCGCTATGTCATGGGTTCGTATCCTGGCCGGGGAGGATTTATTGGGCGCAATTCCTTAACTGTAGCCTCTGTTTAACGCAACAGTAAAATGTGTACTTGGATGAAAAAACGATTCTTCGCGGCAGGGGATCGTATTCCAGGGACCATAGGATTAAGGACCTGCCCGAAACGCTACGCGTACTAGTGGCTGCACAAGAATGTAACAACTCTTGTATATATCTCAAAAAAAAAAAAGGAAGTTTACTGCGCCTGCCCAATTCGGCAGAACTTCCTCAAAATTGGGCCAAGTCCCTGTGCCTGCCCAATTTGGCACAGGGACTTTGGTATTTTAACCTTTTTTCGCAGTTGCTAAATCAGTGTAGTCTTGTCGAAGTGTACCTCTCAGAGAGGACCTCAATAACGATAAAAAAGTCCCTCCTCTTCGTTGTTCTTTCTCGTGTGGTACGTAATTATGTGTTTTAATATGTTTTCTTTGAAAATAGATTACAATATGAAAAATAGAATCAAAAGTACTGCTCGAAATAATGCCTTTGCGGCATTTGTACAATAAAAGATTTTCATCCGTTAAAATTAGAGCTGATGATATCGAAGTTATCCCTGATATCAATATTACGTTTTCTATACTGACAATGATAGAAAATGTCAACATAGGAGACCTACATAAAATTTATAATAGTAATAATATTGTCATTGTCTGGCGACAGGCAGCCAGTATTTGTGTGTGTGTATATATATATATATATATATATATATATATATATATATATATATATATATATATATATATATATATATATATATATATATATATATATATATATTTCTGAGTATATTTTGGGAGCAGGTTTTCTCTAATACACATGTCATTAAACCCAACAGCACTGTGACTATTGTTAATTTTCTTTTGGATACTTTCCATTCTACGCGAATCCCTTCTACCATCTGGAGAGTGAAGAAACACTAGATCATTTAATCTTTCCATTTTATTGTTCAACGTTACGTCAGCAATGTGACCTCTTCAGGAATACACTGTTCAACTGACACATGTCTATAGAACTTACAAGGTTGTTGTTGTTGTTTAAGATTCAGTTACTGGGAACTAAAAGTTCCAAGTAGCACGGGCTATGGTGAGCCCGTAGTGAACTTACCTGGCACAGAAGCGGGGCTGTAACTTGGCCTACGACTTACAAGGTTGTTGTTGTTATAGATTCAGCTACTCGGAACAAGTTCCAAGTAGCACGGGCTATGGTGAGCTCGTAGCTTACCTGGCACAGAAGCGGGGCAAGTAGCACGGGTTATGGTGAGCCCCTGGTGGACTTACCTGGCACAGGAGCGGTGCTGTGTGACTTACAAGGGGAAGGCTAGACATTTATAAGTGTGGGTAAACTTCACTCTACAATTCACCTAACCCCCTTAATCGTAGGGAGCGGGGAAGGATATGGTGAGGCAATTGTTGCTTGACTCCTGCTTCTAGCTGTCCGCCAGGTCTTCCATCTTCCCTCTGGATCAATGGAGGACACACGAACAACTGTATCCTCAAAGTCGAATTCATCTGAATGTTGATTACTGGTGTCAGCTCCCGAATGAACGCAGCCTCCAGCATACGAAATCACCGACGTTCGTAGTAGGCTTCGGAATACTGACTACAGAGGCAGAGGCACTAAATATATAGACATTAGTAAAGGCAAAATTATTTTATTGAAATATTACTTTAGTATCACTACAGTAAGATCACTTTGATTGGGGTAACAAATAGCTCTCTGGATTTTTATATAGCCTCTGTGATGGGAGAAAATAGCAACAATTGAAAGTACTAAATGCAAATGAACTAGGATTACTGACAACACATGATAATTTTTAAATAATCATCCTTATCATTACTCTCTCCAGGTCACTTGACTTTCAATAGAATCCTTGTTGACTTCAATAGCTTTGATGTTGCTGCCTTATGTCCCTTTGTTCTGGCAACGTGGGTGATATTTAGCACCTTTTGAATATCCAGCGAAATAGACGATCTATAGTCGTCCCGGCTCGGTGTCTTCTATTGGTAATTAGTAGATGTAGTATGCATAACAGCAGTAGCTACAGTGGTAGAAGCTGCAACATTGGTCACAAGGGTAGAAGTAGCAAATATAGCAAGTAGTAGTAGTAGTAGTAGCAACTGTAGTAATAAAGTAGACCCATGGAATATGCACCAAAAGTAGTATAGACGAAGAGACAGAAATTATAGTATCATTTCCAAATTCAGGTTTTGTTAGCTACATCAATTATCAGAACGGAAATATTTATCACTACAGCAATCCGGTGACACTAAATAGTCATTTTTTTGTGGCAGCAAAAACAATAGGATCACTGACATCAACATCATTGACAACAACAGAATACATAACATTAGCCTCATCATCACAGCATCTTTCCCTTCACTTCCAGCATCTCTATCTGAACCATTTTTTACCTGACGTTGCATCCTTTCAGAGATCGTCGGGTTCTCCTGCCCAGATTACGTGGACTCCAAAGACCCAGCATCGAAGTTCCTGCCGTTCCCGAGGTACCCTTCAGGTGACTGTGGGCGCTACATCGTCTGCGTGGAGGGGAAACCTCGCCTCATTGGCTGTGGGGACTACACAGTCTTTAACGAAGAGACTCTTACCTGCGAAGACCCGGAATATGTACCAAAATGGTGAGAGGAGTACTCTTGTCTCTTGAATGTGTAGACGGCCGGGTAGGTATAAGATTGTGCCGAGGGCCACACATGCGTTGGATTGTGTCGAGGGCCGTGCAAGAGATAGATTGTGTCGATTGCCGTGCAAGAGATAGATTGTGTCGAGGGCCGTGCATTGCAATAGTTATGCACTGTACAGGATACAGGCTGTGCTTCAGAGCCTTGCAGGCATCAGGATGGCACCAGTGACTGAGTGCGTGGTTTCTGCCTACCACAATTCTCCCATTGTTATATACTTCTTGATGTCTTAATATTACCGGAATCTTCATGTTATTAGCCGGGTATCAGAGCCATCTTATCACTGCATCCTGGTAGTTGTAAATTTATTTTCAGTCTATTGATAAATGAATAACTCTGATGTCTTTTCAGTGCCTCAAATTGCTAGCTAACCTCAGCTCAGAGAGTTTTGAATATATGTAACTTTAGATTAGGGGTAAAAAAATATACATTTGAATTATATCAAATACTAATGGACAAAGGTCTAATAACCGCAACAATTACATGTACTTTGAACGTTTTAAAGTGTTCTATCTTCTCCAAAACCTTCATGGGCGTAAGGAATGAATAATGATAGGTCAGGGTCGAGATACCATTCATGTATAATGATAGGTCAGGGTCGAGATACCATTCATGTATAATGATAGGTCAGGGTCGAGATACCATTCATGTATAATGATAGGTCAGGGTCGAGATACCATTCATGTATTCCCATCATAAACAACAATGAATTTCCTAAATTGTCTTTCTAAGTGCTTAATACACAGATGGTAAAGAATCTTCATTAAGATTCAAATTCCATCATTATACGAGGCTTTAGCTGGTGGATTACAACTATGCTGACATTATCTTTGAGCATAAGAACATAGTAGTAAATGAAGCGGCAGAAAGCCTATTGGCCTATACAAAGCTTAGGTTAATATTACATAACCTACTGTGATATTCATATGTACAACCTACTCTTGAAATGATCAATCAGTCATAAAGCTGTTATGCTAACCTGTAATTTGTTCTATAAATCAACATCTCTATTATAAAACCCGTATTTACCTCAGGTCTTTCCTAAATCTAAATTTTGATCCTGTTTCTGTCTGTTGTTCCAAGGTCAATTTTGTGTTGATATCTTTAAAATCTTATTTATATCCCACTTTTTTATTCTCTTTCATCCATTTATATATTTCATTCTGTGCTTCTCCACTGGCACATTGTAGACTATGTAGAAGAATTGTTTTGTTTGTTTGTCTGTTTTGATGGGGTACATTTGAGTATGTTTGCATCCTCAGCATTTTTGCCTAGAGAGAAGAATGTAACATTGTCACAGCAACATCATCTTCAGGTTCTTGTAATGCTGGTTTCATTTATTGCAATTATTTATCACCATCATCATCACTATCACTTACCAATACATTATTATTGAATTGCCAAACCACACAAAATATGATGTACAATACATAGTGTGTAAACGATATTATATTTTTTTTCTCGAAAATAATCATGATACAATGTAGACCAAAGTTATTTCCATACTGGCTTTAACGAGTTGAATTATAGTCATGTCATATACTCAAGTGTCAGTCTTGAATTTTTGTATTTGATATCTATTTTTTATCTTCCAGCTCCAAGTACTTCAAGAAATAACATGGAAATCTGTAAGAGATGGAGGTCGGTGCTCGCACTCTACGTGCGCCTTCCCTTCGAGGACAACCTCAAACTCCGCCAATGGTCAAGTTTTCCGAGCTTTTTTCCAAGCTTTCCGTCCATTCCTTAACACTGGGAAAGAAATTTTGTATGTAAAAATAAGACTAAATATTTAAATTGTTTTCTGTAATTCAACTATTTTATAATTTTTTTTTCCTTAAATATTTGTGTTCATATATGTTGAAGCATTCACACTGAAATGGGATTATTATTATTATTATTATTATTATTATTATTATTATTATTATTATTATTATTATTGTATTTTTTGTAAAGTTTTGTATATATACCGGTATATTATTTTGGAATTTCTGGCTGGTCAAGGTCAGTGCCATTCGCCTATTGTAAGATCTGACTTACATGTTACCAGTAACATCTGTCAAATATACTGAAATTAGATCGACTATGTCTTTGTTTATATTTTCACTGCCCCTTACAGTGCTATAGGGAAGTGCTGACACCTCACACTAGGCAGTTACAGGCTCTGTTATCATATATATTTTGTTGGGGTGTGATTGGCCCTATATACACCTCATTTTGTCATGTTATTGGCCCTGTTTTGAGTATTACTGACCTTATATATAATCAATTTTTCAGGTTTTTGACCCTGTTTACACTACAATAGTGTTATTTGCCCTGTAAACACTCCACACTATAGTGTTATTGGACCTGTTGATACTCCCCCATGCTAAAGTGTTATTAGCAATGTTTACACTGAATACTGTGATGTTATATTCCTTGTTGACACACATACACTAAGGTGTTACTGGTCCTGTTGACAGCCCACACCACGGAGTAACAGACCCGTGGTGGACAAGCCACCCTTTGTCATGAACCCTGTTGACAGCCCACACCACGGAGTAACAGACCCGTGGTGGACAAGCCACCCTTTGTCATGAACCCTGTTGACAGCCCACACCAGGGGGTGGCATGAGCCCTCGTGACATGCCATCAAGCAAGTCAGAGCCGAGTTACATGCCACTGATCTCGTCTTTTTATGAAGTCGAAATCATTTGTGTTTTAGCATTACGCAAAACTTTAACCAAGTTTTTGTTGATTGACCAAACCGCTCTAGCCCCCAGGTTATACTCCTGAAGAATAGGTTGACCGAGAAAATCAGTAGGAGACATGAGGAGGATTCGAACCCACAAACTTGGTACTCCCAAGACCACACCCTAGACCACTACACCACGACATGGTCAGTTCGGACCTGTTTTTTTAGGGTGTACATACACTGGGAGTTTACTCTGGTTTTGAATTACTGTATATTTAGGACTAGGTGAAAAGTTTACTTGCTGGCTGGTCGGTAATGCTTCTGAGATGAATGGAGCCTTAAACTCAACAGTAAACCACACTCAGTTTATGCATGAAATACACTTTACATATTATTCATATTTACCGAAATCTTCGCCCACATATTGGGAACAAATGCAATTGCCAGCTGAACTTAAACGTCTTACATAACCTCACCTATACCTAAGCATACAACAAAAATTATATACAATATTTTTTCATTCTTTTTTTAGAAAATCACATTTTTATTTCATGCGCGTTCAAATATATATATTTGGGAAGAGCTTCAACTTGAACGAGCATAGTCTCAGATGCAATCTTCTTTATTAATTAGTAGACATGAGCATGAGTTCCTTAAGCCGGATACATAAGTCTCATGAGCTGACTCATATGTATTAGTGAGTAATGATGATTAGTGAGTAATGGGGGAGGATAAGACATATCCAGCATGAGTTTGTTACAAGGAATCAGCATTTTTTTCAGACATTGAATCACTGCCAGATTCAAGGGTTCTCTAACCCATGGCATTGACGCGGGTATATATAAATGTACCCATGATTAGACTGTGATGTATGGAGCCTTTCACGTGTCGAGATATTGCTACTTGTATGTTCATGATTTAAGCTTACAAGTAAACAGATTATTGGCAGTGTGTTGTCACACACACACACACACACACACACACACACACACACACACACACACACACACACACACACACACTAGGGGACACAGGTGGAAATTGAGTGCCCAAATGAGCCATAGAGACGGTAGAATTTTTTTTTTCAGTGTCAGAGTAGAAGACAAATAGAATGCATTAGGAAGTCAACCTCCATATGGTGGAGGTTGACTCCATACACAGCTTCAAGTGTAGATAGAGCCCAGTAGGCTCAGGAACCTGTACATTAGTTGATTGACAGTTGAGAGACGGGACCAAACAGCCAGAGCTCAACCCCCGCAAGCACAACTAGGTAAGTACAACTAGATAAGTACCCAAGAAGCAACAGCCCGTAACAACTGTCTAACTCCCAGGTACCTATTGACTGCTAGATAACAGGAGCATCAGGGTGAAAGTAACTGCCCATTTTTGTTTCTGCCATCACCGGGGATCGAACCCGGACCCTTAGGATTACGAGCCCCGCGAGCTGTCCACTCAGCTATCAGGCCCCCAAATGTGTGTGTGTGTGTGTGTGTGTGTGTGTGTGTGTGTGTGTGTGTGTGTGTGTGTGTGTGTATTTCCGATTAAACTTAATACCCCAATCCAAACTATCACTCATGAGGTTTGACACCTCCCCTCCCCCCCCCTACTCCTCGCCTGATAATGAATAAATATCTATAGATACACTAAAACCGGTGTTCTGTATATTTAGCAGCTAAAAGATATATTTAAAGGTAATGCAGGCAAACCACTGGTTAAAAACGACACCTTACACACGAACGCCACCTTGCAACAGAACCCCAAACTACACACGAACGCCACCTTGCAACAGAACCCCAAACTACACACGAACTCCACCTTGCAGCCGAACCCCAAACTACACACGAACGCCACCTTGCAACAGAACCCCAAACTACACACGAACGCCACCTTGCAGCCGAACCCCAAACTACACACGAACTAGCTTGATAGCAGAACAAAACGCTGCTCAAAAACGCACATAACCCCTCAAAAATATATATTTTTTGTTTAGCTGTGATATGCGTTGTTGCGCTATATGCGTTATATATGATATAAAGCGATGATTATATGCCCCTCTGCCCGGGAAATGTTACTCTCTTTTCCCCCCCGGAGTGGCAAACGATCAGAGCTTGACTAGCTAACGACCCCGACGGACGGTTCCCTCAGCCTTAGCCTGCAAGTCTTAAGTTGAAATTATACCTGTGCTGCCCTATATTTTTTTTAAGTGTATTTGTGTTATCGGTCTTCGGAAAGACTGAAAACAATATTATTTACGACGCGCCAGTTACGAGAAGCGGACAACTACACTATTAAGGTAAATGTCTCGGCTTTCACTTGTTTAATGATCGTATAATCAACTTTTTATATGCTACATCGAGAACTATGATCAATTTGATTACAATTTCGATACACTAAGTCGGTAAGCGCACGAACCTAAACAAGCCAACGTAAGTAAGCCGAATTTCATGATCACACACAGAGATCACACTAACGTGATGCATCAAATGAACAAATCCACAAGGGCCGTGACGAGGATTCGAACCTGCGTCCGGGAGCATTCCAGACACTGCCTTAATCGACTGAGCTACGACAGGGTTAAAAAAGGGTTGAAACCGAATCCTTGTGGATTTGTTCATCCGAATCTCATGACTTTGAAAATACATATATATACATGGTAGTTACTATTTACAATCGATGATTGGTTGATTGATGAAGATTAAGCCATCCCAAGAGGTGGCACGGGCATGAATAACCCGTAAGTGGTAGATTTTGTTTGGGGTGAATGATCTTTGGTTGAACATTCGAGAAGAGGATCTGAAATTTGAACGCTGGTGTCTGAAGTGTTTAAATTAAGGAGCATTAAAGGTGAGGAGATGAAGCAGCCGCTTTCCAGTGGAAATGCAGTTAAAAAAATGCATTGAAATTATGTTTTATAATTTTTTTAAACGTTAGTGACGTTTAGATAACGTAAATTTGGAACAATAGCAATTTGTACACACTAAATACCAGAACTGAACAAATAAATACTTTGTTATGCCACCCTATTAATATATAATAGGAATATAAAGGAAATTGTATTTAAAATTGCAATTGTAATTTCTAGATTTAATAGGTCATTTATACAGCATCTTCATTTATCGAAATCTTAATTATTCTTAAGTTCAAGTATTAATTTAATTGTTGTAGACCATTGTTGTAGACCAGTTCCGAAAACGGAACTGAAAAACTATACAATTCTAAGTTAAAATTTAAGTAAATTAGCATTCTTGTATATATTGATAGCAGTCATGATGTGTCTGAGATGTTGTTGAAGTGGATGATGGATTAAGATGTTTCATGAGCATGACGTAATAAGAGAGAAAAAAAATAGACTGCACTTGGCCTATTGGCCCACACAATGCAGCTTCTATTTATATCCACTCAATCTCACGCGTATATATGTCTAACCTACGCTTGAAACAATCCATCGATCCTTCGTCTATTGTTACCCGATAATTTGTTTCATAAATCTACAACCATGTTTTCCAAACCAGTATTTACCCAGGTCTTTCCTCAATCTAAACGTCACTAATTTATATACAGCGTCTCGTGATATACACATAGCAAACATAATTGTTTATTGTATTGATTTTATGTATAAAATAATGTTAAAAATAGTATTCAAAAAGTGGCAGAATTTCAGTCAATCTTTCAGTCAAGCGCCGGCTCAAGTATTCAGCATTGACTGACGCTTGGCATTGAGCAGTTAAGCCTTTATTGTTTGACAAGACAATACGGAAATGTGTCAATGTCATTAGGTTGTATCACCGCTGCATGTCAAGACATTACAGTAATTAAAGATTTTTGCAATTTTTTTGGCTGCTCGCAGGTCAGGTTTGAGGTCTATCAATCATCCTCTAAAGGGTGATTAAGGCCACCGCAATAGCCTTGTTACCAGCCCAGCAAGTATACCTTCGTCCTGAACATTGTCTTAAGACTAATGTAAACTATAAAAAATATATACACCGAAAAAGTGGGGTTTACACTTATTGGTGTATAGCTAAGAACTCTTTTTTTTTTAATTCGGCCAGGATTCGAACCCCCGTCAACTAGTATCACCCCCTAAGCGTGCAGGGTACTGTAACCACCTCGCCAATGATTGTTATTGTACCCTGTATGCTTTGGGGGGTGGGGGGGGGAAGGTGATTCTGGTCAGCGGGGTTTCGAATCCTTGTCGGGTCAAAAGAGTTCTTAGTGATTAATTTTTCGCGCATTCCGGCAGTCTTTGTGTCTATAATATATATAGATATATATAATATATATAGATATATATAATATATATATAGATATATATAATATATATAGATATATATAGATATATATAATATATATAGATATATATAATATATATAGATATATATAATATATATAGATATATATAATATAATATATCT